CGCCTTGCTCAGCCCTTTTTGAGGAGGCCATATTCGTGAGTCGGCAGGACAGGGTTGAACGACTCTTTCCCTTGTTGCACGTCCGGGAAACCCCAAAGGGTGTTAACAATGGGGGTCGGGTGCGGTAGACGTGGGCACAGATCTCAACGCCACAGCCCCCTGTGGGGGGCGGACGGAAGAAGAGGAGGAGGTAGAGGGGGACATGGTGTCAGGAATTATTGAGTGAAGGGGTGGTTTTTCCACTCAGCGGACAGGAGTGGGGAGCGGAGAAATTGGAAAGAGGGAGGAGGGGGAGCAGAGGACCCAGACGCACCGTGGCAGTATGCTGGGGAGATGGAGGTAGGGAGTCCCTCGCATTCCTTGGACAAAGGGCCCCATAGCATGCTCGTTTTGTTGCGTAGCGACAGCCCAAAATAACCATCAACGAGGGATGACTTTTGGCTGTCCCCCTTTGTTGGCCCCTCGCTACCGTTCAAAATGGTGGCCTTTTTCACACCTGCGAGGGGGAGGCCAAAAAAAAGTATTTAAAAACCCCTATGTATTTCGCGGGTCTCTCCTTTCTGCCCCAAACGTCCTCCTCGACACTGTGGGCCCTGTCGCTCGCGTTCGCTGCCAGGGCAGCGGGGGGGGGGGTGGGGTGGTAGGACGGGCAGCTCCCCCCAGCAGCGGGCTGTCAGTCTGCGTCGTGAGAGTAGCTTTCTTCACCAGCGCAGTGAGGAAACTACAACCAGCCGCAGCAGCAGCGCATCGGTGGCCCGGAGCGGGACCTCAAACAACAGGTTAGGCCCACTGGACAGCACCCTGCCAACCGAGGTAGAAATCCCCCTTTACACTGGGGAACAAATTGACCTTTGACCCCAACTAGCTGAATTTGCCTTTAAAGGGTGTCATGCCCGGCCTAGGGGGCATCGGGGGCGCGTTTTTTAGTGCGGCGGAGGTTTTTCAAAATCCGCGGGGGACAGACTGTCCACCCAAAGTGTGGGGGAGACTAGTTTTTGAAAATGAATCAGGCGGGATAGTCTGGATTTAAACCCCTAGTTCCCGAAAACAACGACTAAAAACCGCCATGAAAACATGCCCCAAACATGTGCCCTTTCAGGTCTCCTCACACACTGCTTGTGTTTTTAAAATTTTTTTAATAGGGTGCTGGCAGATTACGGGCCTCCCATAGCTGCTGCCAGGCCCCTAATCTGCCATGGGCCCCTATATAACGCCTCCTCATGCTGCTGCAGGTCCAGAGTGTCTCATGCCATGTGCCACTTTCAGGTCTCCTCACACACTGCTGGTGTGTTCATTTTTTGTCATGGTGATGGCAGATTACGGGCTCCTATAGCTGCTGCCAGGCCCCTAATCTGCCATGGGCCCCTATACCGCCTCCTCATGCTGCTGCCAGGTCCAGAGTCTCTCATGGGTCCCTGTACGGCCTCCATTGCTGCTGTCTCCATCGCCACACTCTGCCATGTGCCACTTTCAGGTCTCCTCACACACTGCTGGTGTGTTCCATTTTTTGTCATAGGGTGCTGGCAGATTACGGGCCTCCCATTGCTGCTGCCAGGCCTGTAATCTGCCATGGGCCCCCGTACCGCCTTGTCACGCTGCTGCTGGGTCCACAGTGTGACATGGGTCCTTGTACCGCCTCCCATTGCTCCACTGCATGTGCCACTTTCAGGTCTCCTCACACTCCTGCTGGTTTCCATTTTGTCATAGGTTGCTGTATGGCCTCCCATTGCTGCTGCCTCCACCGCCACACTGTGGCTCCAAACACTGGTTTTGGCCCGTGACTGGCCAAATGAGTGAAGTGTGCGGTGATTCTAAGTATCGACGGCACTCATCTGCATGTCATACTGAGTGACAGTATTATTTCTCTTCCCCAGCAGACTCCAAGGGCATTTAATTAAAGGTACAGTGTTCTGCACTAATATTAAGTCTCTCTGAAGCCTAGAAACACCCTTTTTTAAGTTAAATTCACAGCGAATTTATTCGACTCGAATCGAATATTGTCCACGAATTCGCCGAATCAGTCGAATCGAATTTTTCATTTCTTCGCTCATCTCTACTGACAACATTTATACCTTTCTCATACTATTCAGATCACTGACCTTCATAAAGCTTTATCATAATATAACATGCCCACTGGATTTGACGTTGTGTTGTACTCAAAGCTCCATAAAATGTACTGTATACAATACTATGCACTCATTTTTTATACTAGCTCCATGTGAAAGTGATATACTGTAGATAAAATAGCAGAAAATTATTGAGTTACCAGATTTCTATGTTTGGACTAGGACATATTTTTTCAAACTATGCTTGTACCTTTGGCATCCTATATACTGTATTTTGAAAGGTGCATTGAGGGGTTTTCTGAAAGACAGATATGTGTCCCCATTTTTTGGGTTGTGGTCTTTTTAACCCATTTTTAAGTCGGACTTTTTTTCCCCCCTTTCCCCCCACCCAATTTTCAGCTTTCAGCACATCACATTTTGAAGACAATTGTGCGGTATGCAACACTGTACCAATGAATGTTTTATTTTTTTTTTTGAGACTTTTAAAATTTTTTTTGGGTTTTGGTATTTATTCACATGGGATTTTTATTTTTTTTTGCTTAAAAATAAAAAAGCCCAAACTTTTTAAAAAAAAGTGTTTTTTTTTAACATTTTGCAAAGAAATAATCTTTTCATAATTTTGACCAAATTTATCATTTATATTTTTAGTAAAAAAAATAACCCAAATTAGTTTATAAAAACAAAAATTAAAAATTTTCCAAAACTTTTTTTTTACATTTTTATTTTATTTTTTTGTTTTATTTTTTTTTTAACACCCATCCCCCTTTGCAGTACAGTCCCATAGTGAACTGTCTATTTGGGGGGTGTGTGAAGTTTTTTTTTCTTCTTTTTTTTACTTTGAGCTTTTACACCCAAAAAGGGCGTAAAAGAAATATTTCCCCCTTCTTCGGCTGATCCTTGCAGCCTTTTGGAAATATGTGTGAGATGTGATTGGTCACGCTGTTCTGGTACAAGGTGTTGTGAAAAGCCTTGCTAGTGACCCCCTGTGACTTCACAGATTTACCGTAGTAAGCAATGATGTCACAAGTGAATTTGCTTATTCCCTTTTGTGTCATGATTGGCCAATCATGTCAATGACGGGGGCCCCACACAGGGTCCTGTACAATGATCGGTTGTAACAGCGGGCACTGGATCACAGTGCGCGGCTCCAAAAGGGGGCATGCCAAGCAGGGAGCAGGGGGGCGTTTATAATGGCCCCCCCACCCCTGCACTGCTCCGTCCCGACATTTATATACATGGGCCGGTGGGGTGGTAAGGGGGACGATAAGAAAAGTGTGAAGTATCAAGGATTCTGACCCATGCAGGGCAAAGGGGGGCCCCGGGAAAAACTGAAAAAAAAAAAAAAAGCTGATTTGCTCGGAGAAATTTGGATGGCAAAAAAGCCCCCAAACCCTTAACTATAGGAAACCGGGTTCCTAAAAATTGTTTAACCCATCTATGAGAGGGGGCTTGAACCCAGTCGTGGGGGTCTAGGGGGTTGGGGTAGGGAAAGCAGGAAATATTTTGTGAGAGAACTTATGTGTGTTTGGGTTTAAGTGAGATCCCAAGCTGCGATGCCCTTTTCCCTTTTTGGCCCCCTGTAGAAAGGCGGGACTTGAAATCCTTTTAAGGGGACAAGTGTTTGCTGGCAGGGGCCCAAAAACATGCCTTGTTCCAGAGATTGTTTGGACTGCTTTGTTTTTTTTTTTGATCCCGAAGGTAATTTTTTAAATTTGTTTCCCCATTTAAAAAAAGGGACTTTTTTGCTTTTAGCAATATGCTGACTGGTGACCCGGGCCCCCCCAAAATCACAAAAAATTTTTATTATATTTGGCTTTTTTCTCAGGGGGAATGCGAGGGAATAAAAAATTTTTTTTTTTTGGGGGTTTTTTTTTGGCTGCCGGGGGATATAATTTTCACTGAAGGGGTCCCATTTTTTGTTTTGGTAGTCTATTGTTGCGGGGGGGGTCTTTTATTGCTTGTGGGGGTTTTTTTGTTGTTTGAGGTCAGTTGTTGTTTTGGGAAAAGAAAACTACTGTTGAGGGGGGGGTCTTTTTGTTGCTAGCCCGCTGGAAAATCTATTGATGCTGGCTCTTGGAAGATTTTTAGCTGTGGGGGGCTATTGTTGCCGGTATTTAATTTTTTTTTGGGGGCCCTTTTTTCTACAGGGAAACTGTTGTTGCTGGGGGGGTTTTATTTTGGGTGGCTGTGGGGATCTTTTTTTTTGCTTTTCTTTTTTCATTTCCGAATTCTATAACAAATTATTTAGCCACAAAAAATTATTCTGGCTGGGGTTTTTTCTAAAAGGGAAAGGTTTTTTCGGGGATGGGAAAGGGGGTGGAACCAAGTGAAAGTGGATTGGGGGGTTGGGTTAAGGGGGCAAAGAAAGGGGAGTTTTTTTTTTTTATTTTTTGGAAAAGGAATTTTTTGGGCTTTTTTTTTTTTTTTTTTTTTTTTTCAAAAATTTTTTTGGGGGAAAAACCAAAAGGGCCCTATTTTTTGTATATAATAAATTTTATATTTTTTAAATTTTTTCATTTCCCAATCAGCAACATGGGGCAATTTTTGCCCCCTACCTTTATAGGCTTTTTCAAATGGAGGTTGAAGATTTTGCTATGCCATCTGCCAGGGAAAACCCCCCAAAAGCAGGGCCAAAGGTTTGGGTTTCCCCCAGCATAAAAAAAAGATTGGCTGAAAAAAAAAACAGCTCACATATCTGTGTTTTTAAAAATGTGAATTTTGCATTTTCCCTTTAAAGGGACTTGCTAGCTAAAAGCGGCCCGAAAACAAAATGTAAGATAAAGGGATTTTTTAACCCTGGGATTATATATGGGCCCGAACCGGGGTTTTACACTATGGGAAAAAAATCCCCCCTTTCCCTACTTTTCATGGGGGTTTTTTCCCAAAAGGGAAATTTTATCTGTAAGAAGGAGGAGTAACAGGCTCCTCTTTAAATTTGAAAAGAGAAAAATTGCAAAAACCCGGCTAAATTTTGGGTTGAATTCCATGTTCTTCCCCCTACTTAAAAATTTTAAAAACCCCCGATACTCTGGTTTCCTCTGAATTTTAGGGTACCATAAACACCCGGGAGAGTCCCAGAAGGAAACAATTTCAACATAATCCTTTGACTGAGGGCCTGCTTTTCCCCGGGGGTTTTTATACAAAACCCCGGTTGGGGGGGGCCCCTTTCCTTTAAAAGCAAGGTTTTCCTATTTCTTACCTCTTTTCTCTCTTGTCTTTCACTCTCTCTCCCCCCCCCTCCCACCTCACTCTCCTTAATAAACCCTCCCCCCCCCCCTCCCCTCACCTTAATATTAAATTTTTGTTCTTTTGGTTTTGGTTTGTATTTTGCCTATATGGGCCATAAAACTTTTATCCACTCAAAGTTTTCCCCTGTTTTAAAAATTAAACATTTCAAGTTCAAGGTTGTTTTATCAATGCTTTTTCTTTTTTTGGAAATTTCAAGTGATTATAAATCTTCTTTTAAAAAAAAAACCCAAAAAATTTGGGATAATTTTGCGCACAGTGACAACCATATTTTTTAAACAACCCCGCAAAAACCTTTTTCTCTCCCTCCATCCCCCCCCCCCCCTTTCGGAATGTGGTCTTTTGGGGCTGGGGGCACAAGGGAAAAAGGCACGCTGGATAGCTTCATGGTGTAACCCCAAATTTTCCTTGGGTTTTAAAGATGGCTGATACACCTTTTTTAATGGGGCCCGGGGCGGAAAAAATAAACTCAGTCCCCTTTATTTGACATGAAAACCTTTTCTCAG